AGGAAAGTCCTCCATGCTGTAAGCTTCAGCTGTGGGACATTGTGAAAAAGCTGTTCCCCAAGGGTGAGTAAAAGGTCCGGAGCTGAGGAAAAGTGATAAAAGTGTTCCCGAGACAGCTTCACAAGTAGAGGGAATAACCCCTGCCTGAACGAACATGGGCTGACTAGAATGCAATTGGTCCATCCTCTCATCAGTTTGTCCACCACTCTGGTTATGAGGTGTAATGGGGAGGAAAGAAAGAGAACGGGTAGAGAAGGCTGTCCCCTAGAAACAGTCAACACTTCCGATTCATTCATGTAGCGAAAGTGTCTATCTATGGGAACCTCCAGCACTCAAACACCAGAATCAAATATGTCTGGTTGAGTTCCCACTTGTGTAGGGAGGCTTCCTCTCTGCTCAGGATGTCCACTTGGATGTTCTGGATGCCGGGTAAGTGTGTTGCCAACAGGAAAGTCCCCCAACTGATGCACATAAGCCAAAGGTCCATCGTGAGGGAGCAAAGACTCCTGGACATTGTGCCCCCTTGCCGAGTTATATAGCTGAGGGCAGTTGTGTTGACCGTGAGTACAGAGATCACTTTCCCCTGTACAAAGGTATGAAAGGACTGGATGGTGAATCTGATTGTGAGATGCTCCAGATAGTTTATATGTCAACGTTGGTGCTGAGGGTCCCACCGGGCACCCACACATAGGTCCCTCATGTAGGCGCTCTGCCCCCAAAGGGAAGCATCCATAGTTAGGCTCTCCAAGGGGGCTGGTAGTTGAAATGGAGCTCCAGCTAAGAAGTTGGGTTTGTGCTCCCATCAGAGTAAGGAAATCGGGGGGAGGGGGCACGCACAGTCTCATGAATTGATGATGATGAGAAGGGTTGAACTTCCTCAAAAAAACATAGTTGAAAGAATCACGTGTAGTTTGGTGAATGGGAGGGCCACAGTTATCACCGCCATCATCCCCAGGACCTGTGGTACCATTGTGTCTGGGTGTGACCTGATATGGTATACTAGAGAAATGGTGGCCAATGCCCTCTTGCCAGGGAGGAAGACTTTGCATGTGGTGGAGTCTATAATTGCCCCGATGAACTACACCCTTCTTGTGGGTATGAGGTGGGACTTCTTGTAATTTACTTTGAGACTGAGAGTGGTAAGTTAGTTGAGGGTCTGTTGAATGTCTTTTCTCAGATTTCCCTCCAAGTCAGCCACCAAATGCCAATCGTCTATGTATGGGAAGACTGTCCTTCCCTTGGAGACATAGGTAAGCCACCACAACAGCTATTGTCTTTGTGAAAACTTTTGGTGCTGTGGAGATTCCAAAAAGAAGTACTTTGTATTGATAGTGGTTATCTCCTATTGTGAACCTCAGGAACTGCCTGTTCCTATTCAGATGGCAGTAAGTGTTCTGGAGATCCAATGTAGACATCCAGGCCCGCCTAGAAAAGCGGTAGGATGCTTTGCAGTGAGATCATTTGGAATCTGTGGTATACTATGAAGTTGTTCGCAGCCCTCAGGTCCATAATGGGATGAAGTCCACCATCCTTTTTAGGAATGGTGAAGTATCGGGAATAGAAGCCAAGGCTCCTGGAAGCCAGGGGGACAGCTTTGATGGCACCCTTCATCAGAAAGGTTTGGACCTCTTCCTGTAAGACAATAGAGGGAGGGGTGGTGATGAAGACCGGTGTCAACGGTGTCTGAAGAAACTCTATTGCATAGCTGTGGGCAACAATGGAGAGCACCCATTTGTCCAATGTGATTTTCCTTCATGCCAAGATGAAAAGAAATAGGCGTGTTTCTGTGGGGCGGTGGTGTTGGGGTAGCATAGACGTGGGTGGTGGCAGTGGGGAAGGGGTAGGTGAGTCAAAGGCCCTGCTTGAGAGTCTGGGGACCGTTAGATCTCGGTGGCTGTTGATTGGACTGGAATTTGGGCTTCACATACAAAGATCTGCAGAAATGAGTTTGCTTGTTCTCAAAGACTGATTTGGAGATGTCTTGGAGTATTGTCGTTTTGACCATAGACGTGACCATGACCTGCCCCTGCCTTGTCACTTTTGCCCTCCCTGTGTTTCGTTGATTTTGATGTTGAGCCCGAACGCTTCGATACCGAGCAGTCGGTGTTGGGTTAGCCCTGTGCTGGGGTGATGGTTGAAAGTCTCAGTGTCAACTAGACTGTCAAAGGCCCTGGGGTTGATTCAGCTGGTTCTGGGTGTGTGGGAGTGGCCATTGGTGCAGGAGACAGAGCAGCCTCAGTCAGTGCTGCTTGGAGTCTCACGGCCCTATTTTTTCAGGTTTGGCGGGAGACGTTCACACAGTGGGTGCGTGAATCGGTGTGACTTCTTGCAACGTTCGAAGAAACCCCAGAGTTTTTCCATAGCCATTGGGTATGAGGTCAAGGGGGGGGAGGGTGAAAGAGAGCCTTCTTTGATTCCCCCCCCCCAGTAGAGAGGAAATTCAGAAGGAATCTAGAAGTTTGAGAGAAATGAGCTCTCTCATGACGTGAGAAGTTCATCGACTAGGACAAAGAGTAACTGCTCAGTGTGGCAGTCAGAAGAGAACTGGTGGGATACCTGAGCTCCACCCCATAGGTATGTGTATGTGCGGTGGGGCCCTGCGCATGCCTTGGGGATGGAGCGTGGGGAAAAGAGTTTCTTAGAGCTTTTAGTAGAGCATCCCTGACACGTGTTTGTTCAGCTGCTGCTTAAAGACTGCCGGGGAGGGGGAGCTCATCACCTCCCTAGGCAGCTGTTTCCATTGTTGCACAATTCTTACTGTAAAGATATTTTTCCTAATATCCAAATATCCAGCCGGTACCTTCCCGCCTTTAATTTAAACCCCTTCTTGTGAGTCCTATCCTCTGCTGCCAACAGGAACAGCTAATACTTAAGGAGCAATCATGTCTCCCTCAACCTCTTCTCCAGACTGAACATCCCTAAGTCCCTCAGCCTTTCCTCATTGGCCTTGGTCTCCAGACCCCTGATCATCCTCGTCACTCTCCTCTGCACCCACTCCATTCTGTCCACATCCTTTTTGAAGTGAGGACTCCAGAATTGCACACAGTACTCCAGGTGTGGCCTGACCAATGCACTGTACAGCAGGACTCTGACATCTTGTGATTTGGACGTGATGCCTCTGTTAATACACCCCAAGATCATATTAGCCTTTTTTGTTGCCCCATCACACTAGCTGCTCATATTTAACTTTCAGGCCACTCTTACCCCCAAGATCTTGTTCACATGCACGCTGCTACCAAGATATGTATCCCCCATCCAGTATGATGGACCAGGAGTCTGATTCAGTATTAAAACAGCTTCACGTGAGGTTTTGTGAATATATACATATTACACATAGCTGTTTTTGTTGCTGCATCACACTGGCTGCTCATATTTAACTTTCAGTCCACCCATACCCCAAGACCTTGTTCACACACACTGCTAACCCAGAAGTGTATCCCCCATCCAGTATGCGTGTTCCTCACTTTTGTTACCCAGATGCAGAACTCAGCACTTATCCTTGTTAAATTGCATCTTGTTCACATCTGCCCACTTTTCCAGTGCGTTCAGATCTTGTTGAATTCTATATCTTCTGGTGTGTTTGCTGCTCCTCCCAATTTGATGTCATCTGCAAATTTAATGAGTAGGCCCTCTACACCAGATCATTTATAAAAATATTGAAAAGTTCTGGGCCCAGAACTGACCCCTCTGGCACCCCACTGGATACCTCCCCTCCATTCAGATGAAATGCAATTGACAATTACTCTTTGAGTGTGGCTCTCCAACCAGTTCCATATCCATACCCGCCTCACTATCCTAGAGCCCAGTCCACAGTCCTCTAGTTTACCCACCAGAACATCATGGGGAACCCTGTCAAAAGCTTGACTGAGATCCAGGTAAACAACATCAACAGCATTCCCTCGATCCAGTAAGCTTGTCACTCAATCAGAGAAGGAAATGAGGTTGGTCTGGCGGGAACTGTTGGGGGCAAATCCATGCTGCGTTCCCGAATCACCAAGTTGTCCTTTAGGTGCTTGCAGATTGATTCCTTTAAAATCATTAAAAGTTGCAGACAGAAGGCAGTCAATGGCAGGTGGCAAGTTTTGAACCAGGAGTTCCCTGGCTGCAGTTCAATCTCTTCAGGCTGCACCCACTCTTTAAAAGGTGCCTGGATCATTAAACAACATACCTCCAGTCACAAGTGAATTTTTTACTCCAGCTGTGAAAAATGGAAATGCAATTTATCATACAAACCAGCCCATTCCCCCAAGGGTTACCACGAGTATATTACAGAACTAGCATTTGCTCTAAAATTGGGTCTTTGTTCCTTTATTTTTTTCCAAACTGTTCTACTTTAAAACAATTAAGATACAGAGAAAGAGAAAAAGACCGACCTGTAAGGGGACTAGAAATATACAAATAAAACATGCTTTATCTGGAAGTTATCGATACCTGTAAGTCTCCAAAGTCTGTACAAAAAGAAATCAAAGCCCAAAACAACCCCCTTCCCCCCCAAAACTGGATCCACATACAAGGAATAAGCACCGGCACAGGAAACAAAGATCTGTAGCACCTGGAGGTTAAAAAGTCAAATCTATTTAAATAAAAAGGGCTCCCAAGTTTTTAGAGCTTGGGTTTGTTTTGTTTTCTTAAAGGAACCATATTTTTTTTCTGCTGTTCAAAATGCAGGATACATTTTTTAAGTGATCATTGGTGTTAATAAATAAAGTTTTTCTATATACACAAGATCTAGGGACAATTGATTCTGCAGCAGGTCATTTGCAGAAGTGCAGGTCTCCCAAGAGAAGCTGGAGAAAAAAAAATAACTTTTAGAAAACTGACGTGCCTTATAAAAATGCGATTTCCCCTCCCCCTTCCCACCCTGCCTCCCCGCCCCCACCTACCACCTGGAGGTTTTCAGGGACAGAGATTCACTCAGCGGCTGGCTTTCTTTGGCCCCCCAGAGCTTGGCCACCCCCCCCACCCCCACAGTACCCTCCTTCTCCCTTCTCAATCCTTGCCACTCCACTCCAGCCACTACGCGTCTCTCGAGCAGGATGTTTCTGTCTTAGCCAGGAAGAAGCCGTCATGTCACAACCAGATGGGACCAGTTTTCTTGTGAGGAAACTTACCTGGCATTATGGAGCTTCTTGAGGAGCCCCCAGTAAGCTTCGAAGGACCTCAGTGTTCCTAGGAATATGATCCCGGTTCACACATTACCCACCTCTTTGCACGATGGAGGAACCACGCACCCCACCCCTCATCAGCATGCTGTGCATTAGTGAGATGCTTCACAGTGATGCCAGACCTCATTATTCTTCCCCTTCCAAAAAGGGAAACAAGATCTGAGCAAGGAGGCCCACACCACGGAGAGATCCAGGCAACTTGACACAAAATCCTGTTCAACATAAGAAGGTTCTTACAATACCTGACCATTGGTGGGGAGACTGGGAGGGTCCCTGGGTGATATTCCCCACCCCCCGAATGTAGATTACCTGAAGGGGAAGAGGATACGCCAGGGGCCGCGTGAGAGACAGACTGTCCTCCTCTTACTTCTGAAATGTGAGAACGCTCTTGTGCATGTAGTGTGGAGCTCCCCAGCCCTCCAGGAACATTCCCTGTTTTACCACACACAAGGAGCATCACACCCTGTCCCCAGCCCCACGGTACACGTGATGTGCCCAGATCCCGTCCACCCTGCCTTGAGTTTCCAAGAACCAGGATTCCACACCCCAGTTTTAATCTGCTAGGCAACCTCTTGAGAGCCTTCAAAACAGAAGCCTGAACCTCGGTATCATTTTTTAAAAAAGGATAAAAGAAATATCTAAAAAGATACATTTTTAACAATCCACAGTACATAAGCTTTCTTTTTCTTCCCTCTTATACATAAAAAAGGATGATGATCTTCAGCACAATGTAGACTTGGGGCCAAATCCACTAGGTAGTTCTCTCGCACGATCTGTGCATGAGCACTAGAATGGTGCATCAGGTCCCTGGAAGTTAGGAGTACTAGTGCTAAGAACAAATACATTGACTACTTCAAAAGCTAACATTTTCTGGATACAGTACCATTTTACAGAGAGCCCCCCCCCCTCCACCTTATGTTGTCATAGAGATGAACCAGTCTCGGGCTGCATTAAGAAGGAATTTCCCAGGACAAAAAGAATTTACCAAAACACCCCTCCCCCCATATATTACACTGGTTTTTTATGGTCTCTCATTGGGAGCGTCCACATCTCCTCATTGCTGAGCAAATTCACATTCCATTAAAATGTTTAGAGACTTTAAGCAAAGCAAATTACTCATCGTAAAGTCTAATCACACACACGCAAAGATCTTTGACCTAAGAAAAGTGGGAAAAAATTAATTTTGGAAAGTATCTGTTTTATAACACTGAATTTTTTAAAAAAATGCTTAAAAAGAGCAAAGTGACAGGACAAAGCAGACCATTAAAAAAACCGAGAACAGAAGGGAACGCCGCAGAGTGACGGGGTGTGTGTGTGAACGAGATGTCCATTTTCTGTCCAGGCAGGTTAAAAGTGTCCGTAGCTTACTCCGAGTCGCTACTGTCTGAACTGGATCCGCTGGAGCTGCTACTCCCTGATTCCGAGGAGCTGCTGCTGCTGAGGCGGGAAGGGCCTCCGGAGGGGGCAGAGCCGGATTTTTCTAAGAGAGAAGCGAGACAACACACCTGTCAGCATTTGGCATCCTAGTCACAGCGTAGGGAGGTATGTAGGTGTGGGGGCAAAAACCTCTTCTCCTTGAACTCGGAGAGCTAGAGAGACGTGCCCAGACCCCAGCCTCACTTGTGGCCATGCCCACCTCTTGACTCCTGGAGTTGCTGGGGCTGGGCAGGAGCCATCGCCCACCAACACCCAGGAAGCACAGGGGGCTGAGTGGAGGCTCCCCAGGGAGGCCTGTGGCTGCTGCAAGTCTTTGGCCACCACAGAGAGAGGAGGAGGAGCACCGTGCTGAGGACGTGCACAAGGCTGCAGTTGTGTGAAGGGCCGGGATCCCTTTACATACTCCCTGCGTGGTGCAGTGGGGAACGCCTGGCAGAGCTGGACCCCTGAGTGTCTGAATGGGGACTCTGGATCTTTGCCTTTCTTTCCACATGCTCATAGCATAAAGTCTGGTGTGGGTGCTCCATGCGGAGGCATGTATGCACATTCACATGATCTATCCCTGCTTTTGTTCATCACGAAAACTGGGCCTCCCCACTCGACGTTCCAGGAAGGGAGTTTCCATCCCCCCCGCCCTGCAAAGATGATCGCCAGCCTGGAAGAGGACAAAATGGGCCCATCGCACTGAGAAAAGGATGCCACAGGGACAGCCGCGGAGGGAAACGATGACGGGAGCTCAAAGAACCTGCAGGACCCCCACTCAGCCACGGGACCTCGCTGGGTGGCTTTGGCCCAGTTACACACTCTCAGCCTAACCTACCTCACGGAGTTGTTGTGCAGGTAAAACAAAGAGCAGAACAATGTAAGCATCCTTCGGTCCCCACTGGGACCAATGAAGCAAAATAAATAAATAAAAATTAATAAATTCCTCTGTACTATTTGGGGCTGTGTCAAATACTAACGGTTCTATCCCCCCACCCCACCCCAAGCTGACAGTGACTGTTTTTGTGCCAGAAACACATGCCACCCCACCTTCAGGTCAGCCTTAATGATATTGTAATGATTATTTAAAAGCCTGCTTCTGAATCCCACCTCTTTGTCACATACCAGAATATCAAGAGAGAGAGTCAGGTGGGTGGCCGTGTTGCTCTGAAGCAGCAGAACTCTCAGATCCTCAGACCTTGGGGTACAGAATGATCCTTGGACTGGACTCCTGACTCTGTGCTTAACCTTGGACTGAACCCTGACTTGTGCCTCTTGTGCTTGCTTGTGTGTGGGGGGGGGGAGATAAAATCCCATAAATAAACAAACAAATACTGAGTCGGTGCTCTTGCCTGGCTCGCTCCGACAGCCTTGTGCCCTGTGCCATTCCCAGCCTGGCTTGCAACAGGCACCTTTAAGACCAACAACACTTCATTCAAGGGATAAGCTCTTGTGTTCAGATAGCTGAAGAACTGTGCCTGCACACGGAAGCTCATACCTTGAATAAACCTTTGTTGGTCTTACAGGTGCCCCCACCGGACTCAGACTTTGTTCAGAATATCAGGGACAGTGACCTAAAGGAGTATCACCCATGCAGCAGGGGGTGGGCAGGTGGGTGGGCTGGGGGGGACCAGTCATCAGGACTTCCTAGCAGGGGGTGCCTTCTGGGGCTACACTGACCGCTGCCAAACAGGCATGTCCCCCAGGGCCCCCCCCCCAAGCTCATTCTCACCCACCCTCAGAACAGTAGAGGGGCAGACAGCAGCTGCTGCTGCTGTGCCTGGGAAGGCGAGGGGGAGGATGCCCAGTGTCAGCCCAGGTGAATCTGTATCCCTTAGCAGGGCCTCCCGGGGCCAAGATAATAATAAAAGGGGAGCTGTGGTGTCGGGTACCTTTCTTGGCGGGCTTCTTGTTGTTGTTCAGCTGCCCACTCACATCCTGCAAGCGTTTCTCCAGCTCCTTCTTCTTCTCCTGAGCGAGCTCTTCCTTGGATTTCGCTGCTTGCTTCTTCCCACTTGCAGCTGTGGAGGAGGAACGCACAATTGCTGAGACTGGTTGAAGGGGGAGAGAAGAGGCGAGGTCACCATTGTACGGGCACAAAAAACAAAACCGTCCTGCAACTGCTGGTCGGAAACCTGGAGATCACCAGCCAGAGCCTGAGTGGCAGGACATCCCTGCTCTGAGAAGGGGTAGCCAAAGCGGGGCAAGTGAGGGGAGTCTGGAGGTGGTACCACTACATCCTGCGCTTGGGAGACCAGGCAATTGTCCCCCCACACACACACTCAGTGCCTTTTGTGTTTTCTTGCAGAAGGGCCTCACCTCATTTCTGCTGTCACAGCAGAGGCATTCTCTCCTGCCTGGGGGAGGCGGCACTTGCATTTTTAGAAGTTCTTCTATTTAAAATAATTGTGTTTCACCTAAGTGGTCAATCACTCAATTTGATGTATCCCACATTGAGGGGAAATCATAAAATGACCCAGTGCACAAGTTCTAAAAAGGGCCAGCTAATCTGAAGTGTGTTTATATCATTTTAGATCATTTCTGGTTTTAGTTTTGTATGCACATTGGATCTATATGTATTTTTTAGACTGTTTTGTGCATTTGCTTCAGACTGATTGGCCCTTTCATATCTTCCATACTGGAAAATTTTATTCCCCCCCCCCCCCCCCTGTGGTGCTTCTAAAATGTCTCTGCTTCTGGGGTTGGTTGCGGCTTTTTGTTGCCTTTTTGAGCACCAGTTGGAAGTCGGTGGGCAGAGAGCTGCTGTCAGTTCAAGGAGGCCAGACGGCCCAGGACCAGTGTTCCCTCTAAGCTGAGTTAGTGTGAGCCAGCTCACCATTTTTTAGCTTCCAGCTCACATGTTTTTATCTTAGCTCAAAAAGGACAGCTCCAGGGCAAACTAATTTATGCAGCAGCCAAATCGCTCGCTCACAACTTTAATGCCAGTAGCTCACAAAGTGGAATTTTTGCTCACAGGACTCCACAGCTTAGAGGGAACATTGCCCAGGACCACCGTTTACTCCAAGAATTTGTAACATAGTAAAACATTTTGGTTTTCCCCTGACAAACAGCCACTGGCTTTGAACACACTGTTTGAGAGGCTATATTTAACCTACAGCAGAGCAAGGTGACAATTTCACATGACAGACTGTATTTGGAGATACCCTTTTTTTACTGCTAATGCAGGGAGAAAACTAGGTTGTCAGGGGGCATGGTGTTAGTCCAGCCTCCTCCCCATTTTCTAGTTGCAGACATCTGTGCTAGTTTTCTGCTTACAAGGCTCTTTTCGTAAAAAAAAAAGGGGGGGAGCTTGTGGGAGCCCACAGTTTCCTGCCCGTAACTTGAAAAAAAAACAAAAACAGATTGTTACCACTCTCAATAAATGTAAGCATATCTAAACAAGAGCCGCTTACAAGACTCAGTATTCTACCCACAAAATAAATCACCACTGTTACCAATTGTTACTATAACAATTTCTTGGCAAAAATATATAAACTGCATAAGACTAAATATAATTTGGTGTTTGGACATTGTGCAACTTATATGTATTTGCCAGGAAACCATTACAGTTTACTGTGATTGTCTGCAGTGCATAAAAGGTTTTTTTGTAACAGCAGTGATTCATTTTGTAAATATGATACAGAGTATTTTGTAAGCTGCTCACTATTCTTAAGCCACAGTTACATTTACTAAGAGTAATAACAATGTGTTTTTACACAGGTAAGGGTAATTGCTCTTTTCCCTTTTTGTAGCCTCTGGCACTTGGTGCCCTCTTGCTATGACAGCACCAGCTACGTCATGCATATGCATTCTCTAAAACTCAAGAAAAGTCATTTTCCCCCACTACTGTTTTATCCACATGCAAGTGTATGCCAATTTAATCAACATTCATATGATCATCTAAGATTAAGTGACAGTCCTGCTTAGAAAAACTTTTTTTTAAAAACCAGGCTATGTAAATAATAATTTGTGTGTATTTTATCTCTGTGTTTTAATGTGGGGTTTTATGTGTGGGTAACTGTGGGTTAAAATGTAGGTCTCTAGAGTAAGGAAGAGGGCAGCCGGACGGGTGACTGAAGTGGGTGATGCCAGGAGGGTGGCTGGACCCCCCCCCCTTGTTCAGAGAGGCTCTGTGCGGGAGAGAAAAGACTGAGTGAAGCTCTGTGAGCAAAGTCTCTGTTCTCTGTGGAAGTTATCAGCCTAAGTGATAATGGGGGGTGGGGTGGGGGGCTAGATCTGAAACAGAAACTATTAAGCGGATTCTCTTAAACATAAACTCTGTGTAAGTTTAAGAGAACCCACTGTTTTATTTAGAGTAAGGCTCCTCTTTTACCTCAAAGCCACCCCTACACGCTGACCGTTCTGTCACTCTACCAAATATAATTAAGCCATCCCGTTCTTTGGGTCCAACGAAGAATTCTTAGGCAAGAGCCTTTGGTGGCGGCCATAGGTAGGTAGGAAACACAAAGGAAGGGAAGGAGGCAGCATTACACACATCATCTCAGAACATGTCAGAGAGGTGCCTTTACAGATGTTACATATAAGGGGGGTCATACACTGTTACCATACTAAGTTGTGTGATTTACCACTACACTATGCCCATTCATAATTTTAAAAAGTAACTATTTTAAATACAAGAACTTCTAAAAATATAGGTGGCAAGCACCATTTCTCCCAGGCATCTCCCCCCACTGAACTACTATTTTATTCGCATTCAAGTGTATGCCAATTTAATCAATACTCATATGATCATGAAAGATTAATTGAATTAAGTGACAGTCCTGCTTTAAAAATATTTAAAAAAAAGCCAATTTTCAGCAGCTCTCCAAAGTAACATGCAATGTGCATTTGGAAACTGCTTTAGAACATTCCTTCTACCCTGAAGTTTGGGCTTTACGTACCAGCCACGAAATGTGGTCACTAGTTAACACTCCAATTACAGAACTGTAAACATGTTTTCTCCCCCTGCCCTGTAAAATGAAGTGCTCCACGAAACAGAGTCAAAAGATTCCTTCCTCGTGCAGGCAGTCAGAAGAGGGGCTGAAGCAGGAAAGGATCAGAAACAGGCTGGAGAAACTGATGGCTGTGTGCAAGGATGGACTTAAGGCAATGGGGATCTTCCAACTTGCTGAAAGAGTCAAGGTTATTCCGGGATGCTGGGACTTGGTGCACGAATTCCTTGGATAAACGACTGGGACTTGAGGTCCTTACTGCTGTACACAGCATATTGTAAGCAGGATCCTATTATGTAATTGCTGTACCACTTAATGTGTCATCATGTGAATACTTATGCTCTGCTTCTGTTTCTTTCTGGTGGCTCCAGGTTTCTGTTATCCTAATGCATTTGGTTACTGAATATCCCATTTTGTTGACTCTACTCACTAAGCATAATCCACCATGAGTCCATGTGATTCGGAAGGCAGACTAAAAATGTAAGCAAATAAATTCTACATTTGTGGGGAGGTGAGCAATGAGGTGGATGCATCAGTCTGGAGGGAGTTAGTCCTGCCTAATTTCTATGGAATTCAACTGGACTGGTTAAGCTGGACTTCAAAGCGGAACAATATATACCAACCTCTTGAAAATGAAGTGCTCCACGAAACAGAGTCAAAAGATTCCTTCCTCGTGCAGGCAGTCAGAAGAGGGGCTGAAGCAGGAAAGGATCAGAAACAGGCTGGAGAAACTGATGGCTGTGTGCAAGGATGGACTTAAGGCAATGGGGATCTTCCAACTTGCTGAAAGAGTCAAGGTTATTCCGGGATGCTGGGACTTGGTGCACGAATTCCTTGGATAAACGACTGGGACTTGAGGTCCTTACTGCTGTACACAGCATATTGTAAGCAGGATCCTATTATGTAATTGCTGTACCACTTAATGTGTCATCATGTGAATACTTATGCTCTGCTTCTGTTTCTTTCTGGTGGCTCCAGGTTTCTGTTATCCTAATGCATTTGGTTACTGAATATCCCATTTTGTTGACTCTACTCACTAAGCATAATCCACCATGAGTCCATGTGAAGAAGGCAGACTAAAAATGTAAGGAAATAAATTCTACATTTGTGGGGAGGTGAGCAACGAGGTGGCTGCATCAGTCTGGAGGGAGTTAGTCTTGCCTAATTTCTATGGAATTCAACTGGACCGGTTAAGCTGGACTTCAAAGCAGCTTTTTCCCCTGATACAGGAAGCACATAAATTTCTTTTGTCCACCAGTCAAACAGGTTTGCAGGTTTTTGGAACAGTATGAAAACCTATCAAGCCTGTTTAGCAGAGATGAATGTGTGGGGTGCATGTACTATGCTACAAAAGCAGCAGTCCCTCTGGGCCCAGACAGGCAAGGGTTCAAAACAGTCCAGCTGGGGTTGATGGATCATCAGCACCATCCTGCCAAGTGATAAGGAGAGTTTTGCCACACATCAAGGCTTCACAGGGAGCAGGAAAGACCTGCATGGACTCTTTTTCAAGCCTCTAAAATACTCCTTCCCATCTTCCTCTTCCCTTGAACAGGGCTGAAGCGCATTGGAGAGCCAGCAGATGCTGTCCAGACGTTACAGCTTCTGTTCAGACAACTGCTTCAAGCCATGCTTCGTGCTGCCCAGAGGCCAGGGTTTGGTAGAGAGTCTCTGTGGCCCCGATCAAAAATGAAGCTGGCCCTTGGGGGCGGGGACCAGAGAGCAAACAATCTTCCGTGGCCGGGGGGGTGGGGGAGGGCAGGCTACTGAAGGTCTGTCTTACATCCTGAGCTACGTTGAATCTGCCTTACACTGAATCAGACCATCGGTCCATCAAGGTAGTACTGTCTACTCAGACGAGCAATGGCTCCCCACGATCCTGGTCCTTTGGAATGGAGATGCTGGGGACTGAAGCGGGGACCTTCTGCATATAAAGCAGACTCTCCCCCTGAGCCACAACCCCTCCCCTCTGTTGCTCGCTCTGGAGACAGTCTCCTGTGTGAATTGGCAAGACCACACTTGCCTGGGAGGGCCCTCTTTCTTGGCCCCATTGCTGGGGAGGACAGCTAGTTCCCCGGAGCCCCCCAAGGGAGGGGGGGGGGAAGACCAGCTTAAAGCGCTCCAGACCGGCCGTCACTCCGCTCAGGCAACGCTGCCCACTTGGGGCACCTCTGGAAGCAGAAGGCGTCCTGAACCTTCCGGGAGCCACAAAAAGAGCCCGAGGGAAGACAGTTTGGGTGACCTGGGCAACCGGGCAAACCTTTCATCCTGTGCCTTGCAGCTTTCTTTTTTTCCATTTAAATCAGTGTAAACTCTACATTATCTGTTATCCCCTAATTTAAATAATACCCTTATTCTGAAACTGGAGTTCATGTCAGCAAGAGGGAGTCAACTGCCTCATGACCACCAGGAGACATGGATTTTTAACCTTTCTTGCTGCCAAAGTCAAATGGAAAAAGGTTCCATGTTCTTAACCAAGGCTTGTTGTGATGGTTGAACTGAGCTGAAGAGGGGGCCAATGCGCCTGCCTCACTCCAAGGTGGCAGAGAGTCATGCGCAACACGACTTCCAGGCATATTCCTTCTGGATTCTGGCTTCTGCGTGCATGAAAGTGCTGCTGCGCAGGCCCCCACCCTGCCAGTTCCCCTCTCCTGCTGCCACTCTCAGGCTGCAGCCCCCCCCGGGCTCCCCCCCCCCCCCCCCAAGGGTCTTTGGTGGAGGTGCAAGAAGCGGCTGGAGAAACCTCCATGTAGCAGTGGAAGGCAGCAAGTCACGGTTTTCATCCTAACCTTAAGCTTATTCAATTAAAAGCATCTAATAGGTGGCTAAAAAGGGGAGTGACGTTTATTTTGTTTGTGTACCAACTTTGAATGGCTTTTTCAAACTGAAAAATAATAGTTGTGTTTTGGATCACTTCAATCACCCGACGCTAAGAGCAAGATTTGGAAAACTGAAAAAAATAACACAATTCTCCTGTTTTTGTTGAAGAGAAGGTGGGGAGGGGTAGAGGGGGCACCTCACTTCCAAAAACCTGGTCCACTCTGCCCGGGTCCAGTGCCACTCCCACTTACCAAATGGTTTCCTTTGCTTTTTCTGTAAACAAGACTTGACGTATCTTTCCAGTTCTCGTAACGTCGTGGGCTTCAAGGTTTCAAAATCTATTTCGATCTCGTCAGGATTGGAGTCTCTGAGTGAGGGTTCCCGTGACTGGATTATGTGCACCACCCGGCCCAGCTTCTCCCCGGGCAAGCGGTTGATGTCCAAACTGAGCTGTCGCTTTTCGTCATAGGTCATGGGCAGGCCCTCCTCTTCCTCGTCTGAATCATAAGTCGCTGACGCTTGCTTGCCTCCTTTCTTCTGCTGCCTACAAGGTTTAGAGTAAGGATAAGCAACCAATGGCTCAATCTGACCTGCGTAGTGCAGGACAGTATAGATCTCCCCAACACAGATCTCCCCAGTACAGACCTCAGTCACTGTCTTCCCCAGAGAAAAGGCCACGCTATAGACCTCTCCCCTTTGAGAGTCAACAGCTCTGGTCTCAAGGGAGAGACAATGCCAGAGCCTATGCGAGTGCTGCAGACACAGCAAGGGCGGAGAGCCCTCTGCCTTTGCCTTGGGCTGGCATACAGGAATCAGACAGGGTGGGCAGTGCCAGAGTAGCTGTTCAGGTTTTGCTTAATTAAGAAATCTCTGTCCTCCTTTAAAATGAATCCCAGAAGAGCAACTGGATTTGTTTTGGCTGCAGCAGGCTAAGGGCTGGATTCAGACTCAAGCTTCCACAGATGCCAGGGCCTCGCTCTGCAGAGGGCGATTTCCCCATGCAACGTTTGCTTGCAGCTGTCAACTGTTGTGATTAAAAATTCTACCTTGGCAGCCAAAATATCTATGAGCATAACAGTTGTAAGCAAGCCTAACTTTTTTTAATGTATAAAATTTCAGTTTACAAGCATACAAAACTTACAAACATAAAGAAATGGAAAGAAACGGGAATGAAAAGAAAGGGAGAGAAATAAATGGAAAAAGGGAAAGAAAGGGAAAGATGGAAAGAAAAAAGGGAAAGGGAAAGAAATGAAAAGAAGGAAAGAAAGAAATGGAAAGAGATCAAGAAAAAAGGGGGGAAAGGAAAAGATATAGGCACAGATATAGAATGGGAGGGACTTGGCTTGACAGCAGCACATGTGAAAGGGATCTGGGTGTTCTGGTTGATCACAAGCTAAACATGAGCCTGCACCTGCAGTGCGATGTGGCTGTGAAGAAAGCTAATGCAATCTTAGGAAGCATTAACAGAAGCATTGTGTCCAGATCACGGGAGGTGGTCGTTCCGCTCTATTCTGCTATGGTCAGGCCTCACCTGGAGTACTGTGTCCAGTT